GGGGGGGAGGGGCGCGGTGCAGAGACAATAGTCTCGTATTGAGAGCCAATGAAAAGGGCGCACAACAGGTACAGGACACAGGGCTGTGGGGGCAGAAGCAAGACTGGTTTTCCTGGTGAGAGGTTTAGAGAGAACAGGCTTCTTGCAGATGTTACGGGAGGCTGGCAGGGGCGGGGAGGGAGTACGACAGAAGTCTGTGAGCAGAGGCATTCCTGGCACAGGGCACAGCAAAAGAAATGCCCCCGTTCTGCCTGTTGTGGCTGGGGTTTTGGGGTGAAGGCTTTGGCAACAGTAGCTGTGCTTGGGGGTGGAGGGCACTGAAGGCTGGGGACCATGAGGTGCGAGCTGCCCCGGGACACCCAGATGATGCCGTGCCCGCCTCCCCTGCAGACACCAATGTCCTGCGCTACATCCAGCTGACCCAGCTGAAGATGAACCGTCGCAGCCTCCAGCGGGAAGACAGTGGGGCCGGGGCTGGGCCAGGGAATCGGGATGTCATAGGCTAAGGCCAACCTGGGGGACCGTCGCTACCCCCACTCCCACCTCACCATGTAACTTCCCCTGACTCACGTGTTTGCTGGTAAAGCACTTGTCACTGGTGACTGTAGCCTCTGTGTGGTGTCTTGTGGGGACGGGGAGGCGGAGAGGGAATGTGCACCTGGGCTTCACCCCCTGGACCCCAGAAACCCAGAGGCTCAGGGAGAAAGTGTGGGATGGGGGGGGAATCCTAGTGGGGTGCCCCAGGACCAGGGCCTGGGCTGGGGAAAGACACAGCCAAGAGCGGTAGGGGGCAGGGGTTACCTTTAATGCTGCATTTTGTGCCGAATCCCTATGATGTGCCCTGTCCCTGAGTATCCCTGCCCACCCTCCCCCCTCACTGCAGGGTGGGCACAGGGCCCCACCCTCTGGGGTACAAAGGAATAAATTAAGTGACCCCCTCCCCCCTTCCCCAATAAATAGAGTATCCTGCCCAGGGCCTCCCCTGCCTTGTGGCGCGGTAGGCTGGGGCGGGGCCTGGGGCGCTACATTCATGGCTGCCCAGGCGGGCGGTGGGGGGCAGGCCTCAGCGGGAGCCGTGGGCCCCGCACAGGGGCACTGTGCTGTCCTGGCTCTGCCCCTCCATGTCCATGTCAAGCAGCGTGGGCTGCATGCCGGGGGGTCCAGGGCTCTCTGGGGTGTCCGGCCTGCTGGGAGGCGAGATGCTGAGTGTCCAGCCAAAGGAGACCAGTTTCCAGGGGTCCAGGCGGGGCCGGCTGGCAGCCGGCCGGGGTCTTGGGGCGAAGGTCAGGGTGGTAGGGCGGCCAGGGAACTCGGGGGGCCGGCGGTGGGTCGGGAACAAGGTCTGGGGGTCGGGCAGGCGGGGGAAGTCCAGGGGATCTCGAGGGCCTGGTAAGAGAGGATCAGATGAGGTCAACGGGGTGGGCCAGAGGATGGCATTTAAAAGCCAGGATCGTCACATGAGCATTGGGGTCTCTGACATCTTTTGAGGTATCTGCTGCTCTTCTTGGGCCCACTTTCCAGGAGGGGTGGGACCTTCACCTAGGCCCCTACGACTCCGAACTGCTCACGCAACTGGGTGCAACTCTGGGCATATTCCTTAACCTATCAGAGCCTGTTTCTTCGTCATCCCTCTAGATACAGAAAGCCCTCATCCGTCTGAAGCCTCTTATGCATGTGGCACTGGGTGTGTGCACACACGGAGACCTGAGGCATGACGCTATCTCTGAATGGTGATGACAGCAGCTCACTACATAGGTGAGGGTTAAATAAAACAACAAAGCACGTAGCACAGTGCCTGGTAGTAGGTAGTTAACTCCTGTCCTAATCACCTTTGTCTTTGTTAATGAATTATAGAGGTACGCCTGGGTGGCTCAGTCCATTGAGCACCTGGCTCTTAATTTCGGCTCAGGTCATGATCTCACAGTTTGTGAGCTGAAGCCCCAGACTGGGCTCTGTGCTGACAGCATGGAGCCTGCTTGGGATTTTCTCTCCCCTGTCTCTGCCCCTCCCCGGCTCAGGCTCGCTCTCTCTCTCTCTCAAAATAAACATAAAAAATGTAGAGGGAACAGTGGCTAGCACATGAGTGTTACCCATAGTTGTTACTGTT